GCTGTGACCGTGAGGCAGGCGCCCACGGAGCGCGTGGCCGCATCCGTGCCCGCGCTGGGCAGCGGGCACTGCACACCCGCCTGTCCGCACCTGGCGCTCCGCTCTCTTCATCCTCTGTCCTGCAAAGCGGTGCTGGAAAGCTTGGCTGGCAAACATGGAGCTATGTGTGCAAGGAAGGGGCTTTTCTCCCCGGGATGAGCCACCATGATGTGGASAGCTGGAGAAACCCTGAGGTGAATGAGGCAAAGCTCTCCCTCCTTCAAGAGAGGCCTTCAGGAGAGTTGGAGGCCACCACAGCAGGCTCTGAAGGTCTCGCCCCTCCTGTTCGCCTAATATCAGCCCAAATACAATCCTAAATACCATACTGCACGTGTGACTGCAGGGCCCGCGCTTGCTTAGGAAGCTGAGTGGGTCCTAGGCCCTCCTTTCCTGAGCAGCAGGTGTTTCCTGCTGCCTCATCCCAAACGATTTAAGGTGTTACTCAAAGATGCAACYGGTATTTATTTTATGTATCATAAATTCATAGTCTTGCTAAACAAGGAGATTTTCATGTCATTAGGGAAATGTACCTTTCCTAGAAAGATAAGGATGAGCAGATTTTCTAGAAATCTGTTAGAAATTCTTGTTTTCTTTAAGAGGGTAGAAAAAATAAGTAAAAGAGAAAAAAATCTTTCAAAAATGTCTCTGCGGCCCAGCGTGCAGTATGATTTCGCTTGACACTTTCAAATGGCTCTGGGTATTTCAGGCTTGGGTTACGAGACAAAACATAGACTCTTACACAATTCTTCTTATTAAAAACTAGACATTTATACATTTCCATATGTTAGGTAAATCCCAGAGAGATTATCTGGTTTGATATATGTCTAGCGAAGCACGATTTCAACTTCTCCTGTACTACAGAAGAAAATGGCAAAATTAGCGAAAGAAAATATGTGTAGGTGGGAAGGCAGCCCCCAGGTCTAGGGGCCTTTGAGGGTGGCACCTTTCGATCAGCTTCTGAATGTAGATTTTGAAATTTACCTTGTTTCACTGGAAGAGCTCGTGGTGGTCAGAACAAGGGAGCTTCTAGGTCATAAAATCATTTAAACAATCTCATGAAACCCTTATTTAGAAGGAGTTGTCAGGGAGGCATTCAGCAGTGACCGACTGCAAGCCCTTGGTGCCATGTGAGTACAGGAATAACCTCCTTTGTGTCGGTTTGGGCAGAAATAACAAATCACCCACACTCTTGAGCTCACTTTTTTTTTTCTAAGAAAATGGTGTTACTGTGGTATAAGTTGAGACAAGTGCCACATCCTGGCACTATTTATTTATTTATTTATTTATTTATTTATTTATTTATCTATCTATCTATCTATCTATCTATCTATCTATCTATCTATCTATCTATCTCTTACTAAGAGACCTGCAGGTTCTTAACGCTGCCTCCTGTTCCTTCTGGAAGAAAATATATTGCTTGCAAATGGATTGTTTTTATCTGAGTTACTTCAAATCATCAACTAATAGGGCTTCTTCCGCGCTGGAGCCCGTTTGTTGTTGGGATGATGGTGCCGTTGCCGGGGTTGTGCATCATATCTGCGATGGGCTTTGCTCCAGTGCTATCAGTACTTCCTTTTTAGAAAAGTACTTGTCTCAAAACCAGCCCGTGAGAGGTTCCCCGCTGCCGTGAGGAAGGGGATGCTCTTGAGGCCACGCTGGCTGCTGGAGGAGATCCCAGGGGCTGGTGGGACACATGCAGGCACCGGATCCGGCCTGGAGGAGCCTCCCTTCCTGATCACAGCAAGGCAGCCYGGGGCTCTTGCTGCAGCCTCCATATGGAGGCACAAGTTGCATCAAAATTCAAATTAAGAGAATAATTGGTGTAATTAGCCATACCTGTATAATGAAATAATTACAACCAGTAATAGAATTAACAATGGGAATTGTCAGTAACCCCCACAGGGAAGACGCTTCCCTTCATACAAAGCTGTTTCAGTGGAAGAGGATGGAGGTTGGTCAGATGGTTTTGCCATGCAAAGGGCCTTAAAACATGCCACAGCTCTTAGCACTTTTTGCCTGTAGCATTACCTGCCAAAATCATTATGAACCCCTTAGAATTCCTCATGGGTGCTAAAGGTTTTGAGCAAATGAATAAATCATGAAATTAATATCTAAGAAAGGGAACAGAGTCTTCCCAAACAATAGCCAGGAAAGAGTCCTAGGAAGAGCTGCATTAAAAAAGCGCAGTGTTGGATTCAGTTTGGTCCTGGGGTTGCTAATGAACTACCCCAAATTCAATCATCTTGTGCAGGCAARGAGAATACAGTGCCTGCTCTTGCCTGAGGAAACACTTTCCCGAAATTTTCAGTTTAGCATAGCCCAGAGGACARTGAAGGCCCTGAAATGAGAATTGAAACGAATGAGAAATCACAGCTCATGAGATCTGCATTCAGCTTCACTTGCACTCGCTGATATTTATACAAGAGCAAAACGTGTGTTTTAGAAGCTCAAAACGCTGTGAAAACGCACAGCTGTTCCCTTCATTCCTAGGTGAAAGACAGCTTGAAAAAGCCCCGCTGTAATTCGAGCTGCTCTCGGCCGCAGTGCTCGCTGAGTTACAGCTGGCCGAGCAGCGTGGGCTTCCTGCGCGGCCGCCCCCAGCCCAGCCCAGCCCAGCCCAGCCCAGCGCGGCCGTTGGGCCGTTGGGCCGTTGGGCATGAAGCGATCGCCATGGTAACTGCTGTGGGTGTCTGAGGACCCGGCCGCGGTCAGGGAAGTTGCGCAGAAAAGGGCCCTCCCCGCCGCAGACAAAAATAGCCCTCCTTGGTGAATCCAAATTACGGGAGGTCCATGAAGCTTAGTATTTGTTCAGATTTGAACGTCTGCATATGATTTAGCCCAAGGTTCCGCATTTTTGGTTTTTTTTTTTTTTTTTTTTTTTTTTTTTTAGATTTGTGATCACTAATTAACTAGTTAATGGTTGAATATGTGACTCAACACACAATTTGCACCCATGGATTCATGGTCTCCACATTGATTTACTCTTCCCCATTCATACTTTTTCTGGTGCACTATTTCCCTGGCTTGAAGCCACAGAAAGAAGACTCTGTATGTGACAAAGCTGTTGTAGGAAGTAGTACTATTAACAAATGTTGTTGGAGCTGGCTTTATTTCATTTTTTCAAAGATAAAGCCTGAGTGAATGTGTGAAGCACTCGGCCTGGCCGGGAGGATGGTGAGCAGGGGACACCTCAGCTATGATGAGCTGGGGACACCTCATCTGCCCACAGGGCAGTCCTCAAGTTTCACATTTGGAAAGACTACAKAGGGATGGCAACCTTCTTAACATCTTAACCCATCACTTCTGGTTGAACTACATTTTTTTTTTTAAATTAAGGTATACTAACTATTTATTAAGGTATACTAACTTGACTGACTTCTTGAGGATTTGAAACAGCTTGAGTAGATTTCTTGCTCCCAACAATGTCAACAACAATGTTGAGTCAACAACAGGTCTTCTAAAAGTTCTTCCAGATCAACAGCTTGAATAGAAAATCTAAGGGCTTGAGTATTCATTCATGATTCYGCTAGAAAACACATGCAAAAATGGTAGCTAGCGTGGTTAATTAAACTTTTATGTAATATTGTACTTCCATACTATGGGTGTTGAATGTAGGAGAATTCTTAGTGGAATTAGAGGCATTTGGAAAAGAGGTTTGAATGGAGAGCAAAGATAAATAAACTGTGGCTGTTTTCTAGAGATCACAAGTTTGATTCTTTGCATAGAGAGAATTTTATGGTGATGGCCTCAGAACAGAGAAAAGTTTGTGTTGAAATTCTGAAAGGRAACATGCCAAAAAATCACAATGTTCAGACAGGAGTTTTGTGCCAGAGGTTTTCTGGGTTGCATTAGAATGATGCACTCTGTGAGAGAGATCTGATGACCTGGGGTAAAGTGATAAAAAMGCATGAGGGCTGTTGTTTTTCTAAGCTTTGAGAATCGTAGTAACAAGAGCAGAAATAATAAAGCAAACCTGACAATAATTGGAAATCTGATATCGTAAGTCAAATGCAGTTCAGCTAAAATGCCTGATTTTTACCAGGTGTGTGATGATATTGAGGATGAAGAACACAGATATATGTTCAGTGTGATTTACTGCACATGAAACAAGTCACAAAACTAAAATATGAAACAAAAGCTCTGAGAGTCCACTGTCACCCAGGCAAAACATGTATTTAGTGTTTTTATTTGAGTATATAACCAACTTCAGGCTTCAAGATTCATACTACAGGAATATTTTCCTATCATTTGTTCTTTTTTGGGATGGCAGCTTTCTCATCTATGTTAGGGAACAGAAAGATTTTCAGGCTGGACTGTGCCATAGAATATGAAATCAATTCTAAGTGCAGAAATTCAGCAGTCATGATACAGACCACTCCTCCCAATCAGGACAGTGTCATAAGACAGGACAATAAATTAACACGTGAGAAGTTTGCCCACTAGTTTTTGAGGGTTTTGAGCCCTCCTTAGCTTGTTCTCAGTTTGTCCACACAACTCTGGAAGTGTCTTGTGATGCTGACRGCTCTTTTTTTATATAAGACAAGTGTGGTCAGTCCAACATCACCTGAGTGTGACCCTAAGGAAGAAGGCTGCAGCCTGAGTTACCTCCAAGAGCCTGAAGGCAATGAGCATGTGATGGATGCACTGTCAGACTGCACCCATGACATCCCCTTTTTGTTTCCATTTTGGTTCATTGCTCAGCAACCCTCAATACACACCAAAACAGAAACAGCAAAACCTTCCTACTGTGCACAGTGTGTAACCACATTTAAAGACTTATTGCAGTTACATTTSGTCATAATTTCACTCAAATCTCACCATGCTTCCCGAAGCTCAGTTTGCTGTGGAGAAGTGGCCAGTTCCACTTCAATTTCCCAACTTTTTCTTTGACACCCTTTACAAAACTTTCAGAATTGGGAAGCAGCTTTATATTCACTGGGATGTTTTTGGTTTCTTTCCAGCTCTACGATGGGCCTGATGCACAGTCCAACCTGATAGGCACCTTCTGTGGGCAGACTCTTCCCCCGGCAGGGAGCACCACGGGAAGCAGCCTCCACGTGGTGTTTTCCTCTGACGGACTGAATGCAAGAAGTGGGTTCCAAATGCTATGGCATATCCATGGTAAGCTAACCAGATCTTCCCTAAGAAAGTGTGTTTCCTTCCTCTCTGAACTTAGAGTGAACTCCCAGGTTCTGTCGCAGCTATGCTAAGTAGAAATAACTCATTATAGCTCTGAATACATTACATTTTCTGGTAATTCCTGATGTCTGCACACACACGCCTAAAAAGCTCCAAGCTGGCTGAGCACTTTTCACAAAATGTCCTCTCACCCTGTGCGCTGTGGTGAGGGGCCTCTGCAGAATTTCTGTGCTGAAAAGGCCATGTAGTCGGTTACTGGGCACCTTGGGTGCCTTGGGCTTTCCAGAGGGGACATCGCACCCTCATTTTGCCCACAATTCCTGTGGACTTGTATTTTCTGCGCAAGCTTCGCTCTAGTTGTTTTTGCAGTCCTTGTTTTCTTGGGCAGTGCATTCACTTCCAACCCCCCTCCTCTCTCCCGCCTTTCTCTGTGTGAAATAACATTGGCCCAAGATGTTCTTTGGGCCTTTTTTCTCTTGTGCTTGCATGTCACGAAGACCGTCACAGGCCTCATTAAAAAGGCAAGCGTGCATGCCAGCTACAAACAAATCTGTTAATGACTGTGCAACTGCAAACGATGCTGGCAGCTCCTTCTGAAGTAAGGCTACAAATGCAGCTTTTTCACTCTGCCTGCTTCATGGCAGCATTGCACTGCAACAAGATTAAATCGTGTGCCGTGTACATCCCATCAAAGAGGATCCAAGCTTGGAAACAGCAAAGTAGTCACAGTTGCCATGTCTGTATAATCGTCTCACACCGTTGGGCTCTGACAGCGATGCAGAGCAGCCATGTGAAGCGGCTGCAGCCGGCGAAGAGGCCGGACGGCGGGTGCTGCTGCGTCCCGCCAGCCCCATGCTGCTGGAGCAGGGGCTCCCTGCGTGTCCRTGGCCCGCGAGGCCCCCAAAGGGCTCCCTGCAACAAGGGCAGCGGCGCTTTGCATCCAGCCGAGGTCAGGCAGCCTTTCTGGGCCACGGAGATGTGTGGCAGGAGCAGCGGGAAGTGCTGCAGCACAAAGGTTCAGCCTTGTGCTTCGCGGTGACGTCACCCCCAGACACACACAAAAGAACAAAAAGTGGAGGCTTTTGTGTGTGGAGCCAGATGACATCAGCTCTGCACGGTAGCCATGGTTCTGGGCTAGCTTGTTTTTCTAAAGCCCCGAAAGCTTTTTCCACTCTGCCTGCTCAGTAAGCACTGCTGCCCTTTCCCTCCACCCCCGCACACCTTTGCTGGACTCCGGGACTCCCTCCCAGCCCTGCGCTCCTTTCCGGTGCTGACGCAGGCCGCTCTGATGAGCTCGGGGGCCGCAGACTTCAGCCTCACACTGCGTGTGAGCTGGGGAGCCAGGGCCGGAGGCCTCTGCTGTGGGGCCAGGCCCTCCAAGCTGTCCACAGCCGCCAGCCTTCTGCGCTGGGCGAGCACTTCCTTTGGTTACTTATTTATATTTTTCTCTCAATTTGTCTCGCACACAAATACAGATATCTCCCCTACCCATGGTGGTTACATTTTGTGGGCATATACCTTTGCCCCAGGCTGGATAAGATGAGAGCCGCTGCTGTGGTTAGAGTGTCCCATGAATTTCTCCCTTCTGAAGGTCTTTTAAACGCACAAGAAGAGCTCAGCTGAGGAGTTCCCCTTGGCAGGGAGAACTCAGCAGGAAATGTGGTCACTGAGGCGGGTGTTTCTGAGCAAAGCCCTTCGGTTCCCGACTTCCCTGAGCAGATCTCTAAGAAAATCCCAGCCTGGGTCTGTTAACAGGACCTGACTCATGTCAGGTGAGAACCTGACATGAAAATAACACGCTCTATATATTGCTGAGGGAAGAGATTGTACTTCTGCCCAGCTGACAAATGTGTGTACTCTAGGGTTTGTGCTCCTGTGAACTATTTCTCAGGCTGTTCATCTTCTAAACTGGCAGTCGTGGAGCCTCTTTGAGATATCTATCAAGGACATTCACTTGCTTTGGAGATAAGGGAGAGCTGCGCTTAGATTTGCCACCAAATATCTGCTACAGTTCAGTTCAGACACTCGTTCTGGCAGCTTTGCTGGGAGTTAGGAGGTGAGCAGAAGCAGCCAAAGGCTCTCCTGGTGCTCAGGGACACGGGGAGCCGGCTGCCACGCGGGGCGCACATCTGGAGTGTTTTGGATTGAAACATTTGCGCCTGATCTGCTCTGCTCTTGTGCTGTGTATAAAATTCCCAGTGAAAAGCCAGGCTTCAGGCTTTCCCGGAAAGAATCCGAGATTCWTATCTTGGGAGAATGCTGTTATTTCTGCTTAAAAGTGGCTTACATCATTTTAAGTTAGTTGGAATGCAGTAGTGAAAAGAATACAATTTAAAAATGGTTCTGAAACAGCAGTATCGACCAAAGGGGCTTTTATTGATTAGTCTAGATTTAAATTTGATTTGGTTAAATCACTAGTGTTTTCCTCTGCAGCCAAGGCCTCAAGAGCCTCCTTTACCAGAACCCGCAAGGTGCTCATTCCACTTCCATTTTTTATTAGGATGTTTACTACAGACAAGGATGTGGTTGGTAATATGGTGGCCCTTTAAGAAAGAACAAACGCTTGGTAGCAGCCTAGGGGTTGCAAAGCCAGCGTCCCAGCTGAGCTGCTTCCTTAGGGGAAAAAGAACAGAAAAAAATCAGGAGGCCAAAAGCCCAGAGGTCTCTCAGTGCAAAGTTACACCAGTGACAACTGTCACAGTCTGAGAAGACACATATTTGCTAGGCCTGTCACTTACCTTATTAAGCAATGCAGGAGCTGGCAGCTTTAAATACACATCTCTGCATTTTGTTGGAGGCTTAGTCAGGAGGCTGCGTGGTTGGGAATACAGTTTGCAAATTCAGTTTGCTCCTCTCAGTCCCGATTGTGTCTGGTATTCTGTGACACGTATTAATTTCTCCTTTATAAAAGAAGCAGAGTGTTGAGAAAGGAATAATGTAGCCCAGAGCATTGCTCTTCTCTTTCACCATCATCCCTTTCTGCTAGATTTCCCTGGGGAGCCCTGATTGATGGACAGGGAGTGCAGAAAGCCCACGTGGGTCACGAGAAGGGAGGTCTGCATTCGTCTGGCTCCATGTTTTCAGAAGATGAAAATGCTAAAAGCCATATAATAGCCAGAGTTTTTAGGGATGTATGCCAGAAAAAAAGAGAAAGAAAAAAGTTTCTTAGCCCATCAGTGGTGCCTAACAGAATATTACAGTGGATATTACAGTAAGATGGAGAAATGTTTTATTGCTAATAAATGTCAGGAATCTGCTAGGCTAACGGGAGAGAATAAAGCCCTGCAGGTCAGGCAGGGAGCTGAGGCCACGGATTGCCCAGGCTTGGAGCCTGACCCTGCTGCGTCGTTCTTGGGCAGCCTTGGACAAATCCCCACAACTCAGTTCTCAAACGGCCGCTCATTTTCACTGCCTCTTTGTTGCAAGCGCTGGGGCAGCTCGGGGGAAGCGCTGAGCAGCTGCTCGGAGCTGTGGCTGCAGCGTCCTCAGAGCCGCCTGCTTGTGTTGCACTCACTCTGGCTGCTGAAACATGGAATTTTTCTCTCTGAGAGCTGAGGGTGAACTAATTTCTGTTTCTTCAGGAAGCTGAAAAAAAAACCACTGTAAGCTAATTTCTAAGATTCAGGCCAAAATTTTCTTAAAGGGCTTGTACTGAAGAGTTTGGTCAAAGTCTGAAAGCTTAAGAAAGTCGTGAACTCTTTATTTTTTTTCCCAAAGAAAAGCACTGAATACCTGCAGCTGATAAGCTGAATTATGACTRGTCAAGATCTCAGAAGACTCAAGTCTTGTTTGAATCTTTGCATTTGAGTTTAGGTGTCTGGGTCCCAGCAGTTTTTTATTTAATATACATCTTAYTGGTGTCAGACTGGAATCCACTGAGGAAAATGATCAGGGATGAAGAGGCTGATAAAGCAATAATAAACAAAGCTATAGATGTGGCTAACAAAGTCAGAAGGAGGAAAAAACATTTCTCACTTTAATTTTTACTCACCTATGCAACCCCTCATCACAAAACTTAGCCCACTACTTCGGGGATTTTCTTCTCTAAACTAAATCTACACAAGAGAGCAAAAAATTCCGAATCAAATCCAAGTTATGCTTCATGCACTAGTAGTGGGGTAGAGGCAAATGTTCTTGCAACGTGCTCCTTACAACTGGACTCAGTTACTGTTGGCCAAAATGTCTCGATGACGAGTGGAACAAGCGTGAGTCCTTCCCTCTCCCTAACTCTGCTTTTATGTGACCACTGCCAAGGCACTTCAGGCTATACGGAAGGGAGTTTCTAGCATGTGGGTAAAAACATAACCCTGAATAAATCTGAAACTTCGCAAAAACCCTGAGGTTTCCACAGATTACCACTTTAGTGTTCAGCTGTAATTATTTATGGGACCAGGGATTCTTGCTCAGCTAATGAGCACCATCTGCTAGCCAGGCAGGCTCTAGTACGGAGCCACGTCCGTAAATCAAGCCCTGTACCATCCTCAGTGACTACCAAGATTGTAACCAGAGGAAAGCAAAGCCACCGAATGCAGCTTTCCTGAGCTTTCTGTTTGTTGTCGGATTTCCTAGCAACTAACACCACAGAAGGCAGTTGTTTTAAGCACTTTCGAAGAGAAATCCAAGATCTTTTAGCTACTAAAAGAATCTCTCCCTCCACCCCCTTTTTTTTTTCCTTCAGTTTAAAATTGAAGTTTCTAAAACATCTTCAAGGGGGCCTGCCCAAGCTGAGCCTATTCCGTCCGCAGTTCAGCCACAGGAAACGTTTCCACAGCGCAGCTGTGTGTGAAGCTGTCCCAGAAGAGCCAGACCAAGTACATCTGTGCTGTGGAAACTTCGTGGGGCACTTTGCTAGGTACTCAGCCACTTCACATTCACCCTTGTTTCAGTGGSACCTGGCAGCAGGCAGCAGTTTGGATCATGATCTGCCTCCTTATTTGCAGTTGCCCTTAGTAAAGGCCATTTTTTTTCCCTTTGTTGCAATAAACAGGAAAAAAATATTTGAGTAGATGCAAAATCTAATCTGATGTTTACAGACAAATGTAAACATTGTGAAAAGGTTGGGGTAAAGCCAGGGATGGAAGAAGTTTAATTAGCTGAGCTGATCGCTTCATCATTTAAACTTAAGAATAAGAATGCATAATGTTCTGGGAGCAGAATGCAAAGTGGTTGAATCAAAACTTGCTTCTGAATTAGAAACCATATTCCAGGACAATTCTTTTTTCTTAGGTCTAAGCCTTGGCAAATATTTCACRGAAAGAAAAGATTGTAAATATTTCCAAAAAGATTTTCTGTCATTATTTGAGGTCTTATAGTTTTAATGTTTCATAAATGTTATAGCTAATGAGTTTAAAAGAATAGTAAAAAAAAAATTAAGTATTTTGGTAAAGATTTTTTTTTTAATATATATATATAAAACTTTTCCAAGAAGGTGACCAGGAGGGACTCTTATGTCATCCATGGAGATAACATGGATTATTATGGAGAGGAGAGCCTGTGTATTACAGTTCTGCCCTGRCCTGGAGGTTTCTGCTGTTGTGTGGCGGTCAGGGAAAAGAGCACAGGTGGGAAGTTCACCTATTTGCCAAGAGTAGCTTGTTCCTTTTTTGTTTTCCAGCTATTTTCAGAGAATATTTAGAAATAAGCAGAAGCAATTGCTGATTGTTTTTCAGACAATTAACAAAGGATTGATGACATAAATTCGGTACATTCATTTTAAGAAAAAAAAAAATATGCAGACCTAAATTTTACCTCCTTTACTGGAGCACTTGAGAAGATTCGCTTCTTTTAAAAAAGACTGTTTCTGGGAGCATTTTGCAATTGGAAGGAAACGAATGACACATGAGCAATAGGTTGATATTTGTGCGCTCTGCACACCTCTCGCTGGGAATATCAGGTGAGCTCGGAGAAAACACCCACCGCCCTGGAGAGAGGCGCGTGGCCGGGACGCTGCCGGCAGGAGCAGCATCCCGCTTTCCCCTCCTCGTCTGAGCCATCCCGGGCTTAAATGAAAAACACATCTTTGTGGCTATCAGGAAACTGTTGGTAGGAGCAGCTGAGTCACAACTGCCTGTTTAGTTTTAAAACGTTCCCAGCTTTCTTGGGGCGGAGATGAAAACCCGCCGGCTTTGTTCTCCATGCCCGGCCTCCCTGTGGGAGCAGGGCCGGGAGCCTGTTTGCTGAGCAATGCTTCCCGCCTCGGCCCGCTATGGGGCAGCGACACGGCGCCGCTCACCCCCCAAACACAGSCATGGGCCTTCCCCCCAGCCCTGCTTATCCAGCTAAAACAAAGCAAATGATCTGYTTTTTTAATTTTTAAGAAAAATGTGACCATCTTCTGGTGGGAGCACAGGGGAAAAATATGGCTGTGGCTTACACTGAGACCTTCTTTTCCTCCGTGTCTCTGCTGAAAGGTTCCTGGATAGCAAACGTTACAGGGGGTGGTGGCTCTGTGCGGGCGCGGGTGCGCAGGGGAAGCACGTGGGAACCTTTTCCCAATGTGCTTCCCCCTCTGGGGCACTGAAGGCAGGCCTGGTTTTGGACATGCCTAAGAGCTGCTTTTCCCCCTGACTGAGACATCTGTAGCTTGACAACATCCCCTTGTGCCTTTTGCCAGGCATACCGAGTGGTTMTAGGGCATCATGTGCTGCAAGGTGGGAGGAGAGGTCCTTGTGCCGGACTTCTGCGTGGGGAAAGGAGAGAATAGGATTGAGCCTAACTCTGCAGTCARGCTCGGCCATGGGAAGGAATCCTGGGGGAATCCTAACTGCTATCCAGCTGTGGAAATTCTTATGTTTTTATGGCACTTTTCCCATGAGTACGGGGTGRTGGAGAAAGAGATGCAAGTCACGCAGCGGGCATGACTGGAGGCATCTCCCTCATGTCTGTTTTTATATGACTCTTACCTAGTTTGGAAAAGCTTCTTACTGCATTTCCCCCTGCCAGACCTGCTGCTATTTCCTTTCACAGATTTGTGTTTCACAGCTGTAGCTCTGCCTTCATCAGAGCCAATGGTAGGAGAGCCSAGATTAAGTTAGGAGCTAGAAGACCCCATGGTAGAGATGACAGCAGATGCTGTTGGGGTTTAGCAGCTGCCTTTAAACCATCCTGATTTTATCAGAGAAGACATTTACAAACTGATGAAGAAAGAGATGTGATAAGGAGAGTAATGGCCTAAGAAACCTGCTTCAGATTGCAAACTATGCATAGATTGAGTAGAGATTAGAAGGATCTCACACTTCTTCGTGATTTAGTTGAGCAGGTCAGAGAGGTCGGTGTTTTTAATGTTGTAAAATATTTCCTAAAAGTAACAGTTTGCCCCTGGAAATACACAGTTTGTTGATTGTTAGGGGGCTTAATTATTATTATAACTATTTTGAGGCTCTTTTGCTATGTAACAAAGACTTCCTTTTGGAAGTTAATCCAAAGAGCTTGATGGAGCGTGGGTTTTCATTGTAAGGGTGACATGAATGACCCTACAAAAACTGTTAGCAAAAGATTAGCTAGAGCTTGAATGAAAAACTTGAGGGATTGTARTACACATAGAAACAAAATGCTGCAGCTGCAGGACAGCGTGAAACACAGAAACTCCGATCAAACGCACAATTCCCTTGCTTTCCCCACCTGACAGGAAAACAGCCACCCCACTTGCTGCTGGCACCAGCGCCCCAGGGCTGGACCAGGGAGAGGGTCTCGCTGGGAACCCAAAGTGAGCGAGGGCAGGAGTTGCCACCTACGCATCTGTAAAGCCACAGTCACAGAATCACAGCATCACAGCATCACAGACTGGTTGAGGTTGGAAGGGACCTCTAGAGATCACCTAGTCCAACCCCCTGCTCCAGCAGGGACACCCAGAGCACGGGGCACAGGGCGGCATCCAGGCGGGTTTGGAAGATCTCCAGAGAAGGAGACTCCACAGCCTCCCTGGGCAGCCTGGGCCAGGACTCTGTCACCTGCACAGGAAAGAAGTTCTTCCTCACMTGGAGATGGAACTGCCTGTGTTTCAACTTGCTCCCATTGTCCCTTGTCCTGTCACTGGCCACCGCTGAGAAGAGCTTGGCCCCTTCCTCCCTACATTCCCCCTTGGATGTGACCAGGGCTCGGCGTTTCTCTGGTCCTGGCTGCGGCTCTGGACACTCACAGCCGAGATGCTGCGCTCGTGTTTTGGGAGGCAGAGCCACAGCCACGGCTGGGGGTGCGGAGCTGAGGGGTAGAACAGCTGCATCCGCAGAGACCTGCACGCAAAGCCACGGCTGAGAGCTGCCCCTACGGCTGTAGCGAAACCACCACTTGTTTGAGGTAGTGGCGCAGAGTCACGGCAGTGACACCTGAGTTGTTACTCTTTGTGTCACATCATTAGTTGTGTGTGGAGAGTGATAGGGAACAGCAGTCTTTTTACTTGTAATTTTCAAAATCCGTGTCACTGATGATTTCTATGTCCTGTATATGCTATCTATGCTATATATGCTGTCCTTGTGGTACTGGCAAATTATTTTCTTTTGTGAACTGTCCACGTACAGTGTGTTTAATGCAGGGGAATGGCCAAGGCTGTGGTAGCAGCCAGCAGTGGTCTCAGGGCTCAAGGCTGCTGTGGCCACGTCTTCCTTCTTCCAGGTGCCTTCCCCCCTTCTAAGAGCTTGAGATTGGGCACAGAAAGTGAGAGAAAGGATCAGAGATGCAGTGACTGCTCCACCACAGTGGCAGCCGATCTCCAAGGTTCAGCTGCTCTGTGCTGTCAGACCAGGGCCTGTGTCTGATCTATGGCTTGTGTCCTTTTCCTTTTTTTCACCTAGCTCAGAGTGTGTGAGGATTTAATCACGTAAGGGGCTGAGGAGCGGGACCAAGACAATACTTCCTTATCTGAAAAGAAAGCACAAAACTTCCACACAGGGCATGTCTCACCTTTGCACAGYTAAAATTGAATAAAAAAGAGCAATACTAAACCCATGAGATGTCAGAAAGCCAGTTCAGCCACTGTGACTTGGCAGCCTGTAGCCATGTTCAGCGGGCTGAGGGAAATTGTATTGTCTTTGCAAGTTTATGATTTCCAAAGCAATGGGAAAGGGCATTTTGACAACAATAGGAAACCTCCCCATCACAGCTTAGTTCTGTATTAGTTGAGGCCAGCAACAGCTGAGGATGGTTCTAATTCATTTTTCTAGAACTGATCAAACCAAGTTAGAGACCAATATTAAAATGTCAGTGACTCCCTCTGTGCCTCAGTTTCTTCAGCTGTCAAAGCAGATGCTGAGGTTTGGAAATCTGGGGCAGTGCCAGGAGCAGCTTCTGGCTCTCTGCTCCCTGCTAGACTCGGTCCCCTCTGACGGAGGGGACCCTCAAACCCAGTGTGTACATCTGTGCACGATGCAGGCGCCGAGGCCTGTGCGTGTGCTGGGCTGTCGGGGAGGTTTGGCAGAGCCCCTTGCTCACAGGCTGCTCTGCTCTGTTGTCAGGTTGTGGAGGGGAACTCGCTGGCCCGTCAGGATCGTTTCACAGCCCTGGCTACCCCGGCAGCTACCCGAGCAGTAGGGAGTGCATCTGGTACATCCGCACGGCCCCTGGCAGCAGCATTCAGCTCACCATCCACGAATTCGACATCGAATATCACCCAGACTGCAACTACGATGTTTTGGAGGTAAGATTTAGGCCTTTGGAGGTAGATTTAGCCTTCAAAAATACACGAGTTTTTTGCATTTCTGCATGAAACAGATTACCCCAAGAACTGCAGAAGCAGAACAGTCTACTGCAGTTTCCCATTTCTGCTGTGGTTCAAGTTGTGTTCCACACGTTGCAGAAACCAAAGCACTCACTAATTTTTGTGTTTATGACTTTGCTCTTTGTACACCTTCATCAACAGTGAAGCTCAGTACTGCACACGTCATAACAGGAGACAAAGCTATTCCGAAAAGCTTGAAGTCTTAAAATGTCCACCCTTTCCAAAGAACTAAGTGTAGGGTACTGTACCATAGAGATCACATTGCTCAAAGCTAAAGGAAGATGATGTATTACTGGATGGAGAGCTAAGGTGGGGCCTTGTGTAGGACCTTCCAAGGAAACGGGGTGGTTTATATTTATGAATCCTAAAAAATGTGAAGAACCTTTGTTCTTGGGAAAAAAGAATAAGAGAAGAGGCAGTGCGGCAGTGTCCTAAGCAGATCAGGGTGGTTGGACAAGGAGAAAAGGGACCTCTCTAAGGGTTTATTGACGTTTAAGAGACCTGGAAGAGTGCCTGGTCCTGTTACGTAACCCATCTTGGTGCTCATGTTGGGAAGCAGCCACATGACCAATTCCCAGCTAACAGATTTGAATAGACTTCCAGTGCAGGAAAAAGCACGAGGAAGTAGTTTCAGAAAGAAATTATTTGGAAGGATAGATTGTCTAGATGACTCTCATCAGGGAGATACAAAATCACTAATGGAGCTACAGTTGTTGGGTCTTTTGTTGTTACTACCCGTGTGAATTTTTAATGTTCTCATAATGGACTAAAAATAAAAGATTCATTAAAAGATTATAGCACTGTACTGGGGCCTCGTGTTCTCCCAAGGAATGGGAGGGGAGTGGGGCTGGCACAGAGGCAGACAGCTCTTCATCCACCACGTGCCCTCGCTCGCTGCTTCTTTCCTTRCCTTTGTTGCTCTGATTTCTCCAGCCCCGTGGACCTAGTGCGTGCTCAGCAGCAACGTTCCCCTTATCCTGCATCCTAAAGCAGCCCTTACGTATATGGTGGCCAAACTGATGACTGTCACGCATCTGTACAAGCAGAAAGATGCATGGCTTAAGTCCAGTCTTTTCGCTTTAAACCAGGTTTTCCTGGCTAAGCAATGAAACCGAGTTCTTGATCATGTGGACACTAGTATCTCACCAGCCTTGAGGCTTCTGTGGCATCTGGATGCAAGGAAGTTGCTCCATAAACCCTTCCCGAGTGGCGGTGGCAAGAGCCCTCCTGTCACACTGCTGACACCAACGCCTGCGCATAGGTGACCTGCGTTGGCTGCTCTGGTTACTGATGCAGTCAGCTGGGTTGTAGCTTCGTTGCTGTTGGTGCCTACATGGCTGCATCKAAGCTTATCTGCCTGTAGGCTTTGGTCATGCCTCCCTTGCCCAGAGGAATCAATTAACCAGCGACACAGTCCAGTTCAGCTGGTGAACAGGGCAAGGATGATGCCTGCACCTCGCGCCGCTCACCAGGAGCTGGTGGGACGCAGCAGGGGTACAGGTGCCTGGCAAGGGTTTGCTCAGCAGCTTTTTGACTAGTAGAGGGCCAGCCCCAAACCCTATTGAATGGTCTGCCTGTCACAAACTGCATGAAGAAGTTGCTAAAGGGGATCCAACCGCTTGCTGCTCCGTGCCCCTGAGTAAGGAATCTGCCTTTTCAGTTTGCTTTCTCCACTACTGCTGTTTTTTACTTCTTTCTGTCCATGTGCATTCACCAGCACAGACACCCACCTTGCAGTTTGGGCTTCCCAGCCTTCCTGCCCTCAGTGTCCATGTGCCTCTTGGTTCCTCGTCATGTTCCTCGGCTCACTCAGCTTCCAGAACCAGGCTCTGATCTGCTGAGAGAGGAACTAAAGCAAGTTGAACTATTGGGAAGGTTCAGTTCATGTCTTGGTATAAGATCAAAGGTTCTGTCTGGCAGTATAAAATTCTCCCTGCCAAACTTCAACCATTTTGTAGATTTTTTTTTTTTTTGTAATTTTCCACATATCTATTTCCTTCTTCTTGCTAGAAATTCACAGCATTATTGATATAGTCTGCACAGAACAAAAGATGATGCAGATTTAAGGGTAAAATAAAGAACGTGGTGGTTGTTTTCARGAGCTGTTGTACATTGCAGTCTTATTTGCTGGACGTGTCTACATAGACCCAACCTGACAGCTACACATGCACACACACACRCAAGCCTGAGGCATTCCCTGGAAAAGAAGAGATTACTGGTGTCCTTTTGACATAGTTGGTTTCAATCATCRCTGGATTTCCCAAACTTCTTTCCCCCTAATGTTACCTTCCTAAGAGTATCTTGTCTACCAATTTCAGTGGTTATTGAAGTCTTTTTTTTTTCTCATAGTTATTCCCCTGATTTCACTTTTCCTTATCTTCGAATAGTGAGTTTTACCACTTCCTGTTTTCTTTCAAGTCAAATAACTTTCTACTTTTAATAGGAAGTCAAAATCGGAACTGAAGTAGCTCTGCAGGCTGCTGTTCCCCCAGACTCCCCTGCCTGGTTAACTCTCTCCGCTCTCTGAAACAAGAAACCTTTTTCAGAACATTGTAATGAATTTCTGTGTCCTTTCCTATTATTCTTCCAAAGTATTTTATCTTACCATAATAATAATTTCCCAGAAACCACGTTTGCTCACTTGGTTGCTTTTACCTTTTGCCCACAGACATCTTCCTTCCACTTGGCAATTGYAGGGAGTTTCTGACAGATCTTTCCCATGACATGAACTTTTCTGCTATCTTCCTTTTTATCTTTAGCAGTTTAGTAAATACTTCACTCTTGCACATCTTTTTGAAGCCTTTTCTTTCCTATAAAATGCAGCAAGCACCTCCCTTCCCTTTCCTTTGACAAGGCCTCTCAAACAAACTGTCATTTTTCTGTCAATATCCTGGACCTGCCACATTTTTCACCGAGTMTTTTCAGTAGTAGTTAAGTAAAAACTTTGTGTAGGGAATCTTCAAATTCTCCTCCTGGCTTCTCCGTGCTCAGATGATCAGTAGGTTTCCCTCTTTCTTCCCTCTCCTGTCTATTTTGATGCTGTTGCAGCCTTTCTCTTGCCCCTATCAGATTCCACACATTTTAAAAACATCCAGAAGCATTTTCGAGGTTACTTCTAAAGATGTTTCATATAAATGTTTTATAGAAATAGAGGCCATCAATTTGGAAAGAGTTGAATGTATTTTAAAAATGGCTTTTATGAAAATACACACATATAGAAAAATGACTGTGCTGGCTTTGTTAAATTATGACTTATCATCTTCAACAGGGATCAGATTTTAGTAAGCTGTAGATATGTGTTGCCACAGCAAGACATAGTTGTGAGCTGAAAAGGGRAAAAAAAAAAAGTCAATCTGTTACATTTCCAAAGCTTTCTCAGCTACTTTGGTCTTCTTGTTTAAATGTAAAGAGAAATAAAGTATTGCCATGATTCTTGTTTCCCTGTCAGAGGAGTCAGGCTCTCTCTTTGCTGGCAGTTATATCTGAAAAGGGATCAGTTTTATTCCCAGAAATCTGTGTCATGAGGGTGGACCAGCCACATGAAAACAACTTGCTGTTGCTCATAACTCTGGAATGCTGACTGGTAATAATAAATGGAGCTAACGGAGCAGAAGCAAATGGTAAGAGCAGATTAAAACCATGGGCTTTATGGCAGTGTCCTACATCCCCGCTACTCCATCCAACATTATTTCATCTCTGGATCAGGTGCTCAGATCAGTCTAAAAGTTTTTATTTTTATTTTTATCTCTTTGCAGCTCAGACATCCTGTGACTCTTTGTGAACCACTCCCTGGAATTCATTCTTTCCATCCATTCTCTTTTCCCTCTCTTTTTTTTTTTTTTTTTTTTTTTTCATGTGGTAACTGTTGGCTTTCCTCTTTTGAGCCAAAAGTAACATTTTATTGTTTTTTGTCATGGAAACACTCGGGTCTGTTTTGTTCCAGCCCTTGTTAAAGCATCTGATTAGTTGAACCAGCCTAAAGGAGAAAGGCAAGTACTAAAGAGCAGGGCTCTGACGAGTGCATTTGGTTTGGAAACTGTGCAGAAGGCCATTGCTGAGCAGCTAACAGTGTAAAGGCCAGCCACAAATCTCAGCTTCCTACCCATATTTCTTCCTCATCATTAATTTTCTTTTGACAGTCCGGCTCTAACAGGGAGTGTTCAGCTTAAACCAAATTAATTTCTGAGGTAGCAGTACAGAGAGCAGCAGGGCTTGGTTTGGAGCCAGGCTCCCCTTGCCCGTGGTGGCAGATGGCCCTGGGGCAGCGGGGACGTGTGAGGCCGCTCCCTGGTGCGCATCGGAGCTGGAACGTCCTGCTGGCTCCTTCGGCACGGAGCTTCCCTGGGCAGGGTTAGATGATTAAGAGCATGTGTTTCCACTGGTCCCATGCTGAGGCTCTGTCTCAGGGAGATACACCACAAAGACATTTTAAAATCCACATTTTGAACAGGCTTCTGACAAATGCAGCTGTTGTGGGGCCATGTGAGCAGCGAGGCATTTGCTGAAGCTGCTGAGCTCCCAGCGACGAACATGCCTCTTCCCAGCACTGTGGCTGCTGCATAACAGCCAGGACCTGAGCTGTAATTTCATCCCTTCTGACTTCTCCTGAATGCTTCGCGACGATCGATTTGGCAGAGGAACCATATGCCCTCAAATCATGCAGCCTCCTTGCAGAAAGGGTAATAGTGCTGGCCTCAGTCAAAATTAAAATGCATAAGGATGTAAAATCAGCCACTAACACGAAAAGGAATCTTCTGAATATCTTACAGAGCATCATGGTTACAGGACAGATCATTCCCTATTGCTTCTGAGAGCTCAGGAGAGCTTCAGCTTCCACATTACTCTGGAACCACTGAACATATTCCCAATTTAAAAAAGCAGCAAACAAGTTCTTTCACCTGTGCTTCCAGTGGCAAAGCAGGCTGGGCACTGCGCTCACTGAGTGAGCACGCGCTCAGTCGGGCTGTGGAGCAATGCACCACACTTATCTCTGCAGGCGGTGGCACGACTTCAGCTATTTGTAACACCTGCCCAGCTATTTAGCTTGCACTCAACTCAGGCTTCTGAAGTTAGCAAGTGCCAGGCCGAGCTTATGAAAACATTGTGTATGTCCTCATCATACAGAKAGTAGAAGTAAAGGGCCACGGAGCAGACTGGGTCTCATGATGCTGTCACTTTCTGAAAAATATATAGAGAGATTGCTTTTTCTGAGCTTTTTGTTGTTTATCAGACTAGTTAAATACTGGTGCAAGCCTGGGATGATACTGAGGGAAAATCTTGATGCAAATTGTTGCCCCACCTGGTTTTGTTGTTAGAAATAATCATCCTCTAGTTTAGCTTGGGGATGTACATACAATGTGTGCTGGTACAGGTGAGAATAGCTGCTGCTGTTCTAGCTGTTGCTAGATCAGTTGCTGAAGGACAGTGGCAGTCTCTTCATTCAATGTGTCCAGCAACAATATTCCCACTTGACATTACTGTCAAACTGACTTTTGGAGCTGCTTCCTCACCAGGGAGATCCCATTGGGAGTCAGGAGACCAAAACATTATTATTTGCAGCATTTCATGACCATACAGGAAGCCAAGAAAATTTGGTCATTGAGGAACCAGGCACCGACATCATGGCTAGTTTTGGGGACCGTGCTAAGCGTGTGTGTCTCCTTGGGGYCTGAGAGGGCAGGCTAGTGAAGATGAGCCAAGGCCACCTGTTACAAATGGCTGCAAAGTATTATCCATCCAACATACCTTKTGGAAAACGACAAGCAGAATTATCAGGCCAGACAATCTAATTCAGTTGAGAAGGTTTAAYGCTGCGTTTTAAAGTATATAAGATTGTTGATGATGCTTAAGAGATCAGTGTTCTTCTGGCTTGTAAATATCTGAGGAACACTCTTCTGAAAACAAATGTCATCTCTGAAAAGCCCAAACTTATTTTCTGTGGCAAATATATGCCCTTATTTCTGTAGGGTGTTATTAGTATATCATGTACTTCCTTGGCCAAAATCCCGTAGCTGGATCCTGATTTTGCCATTGAAGTCACAAGAATTTTTATATTTTATCAGAGACAATGATCAAATCTGGCTCCAATTAATGAAAAAAAAAAAACAAACCCAAAACAGCCTTAACTGTGCTCTTAACACAAAGGCACAAAAGAACAACACAACTTCCAGCAAGTTTGTTTGCACAAGCAAGCAAAAAATATACTTCTATATCCTCATGGAAACAAGGTGCTATCACTGCAGGGGTCAAGACACTTTGGCAGAGTCTCCAAAGCAGAAAGATCTTGTTTAGTGCAAGGCTGTTTTGAAATCGTCTGGAATTGTCTACTTGTTCCAGGTGTTTCAGACACCAAGCAAACCTAACGAGAAAACAACTTTACTAGCTACCTTAGATTTGAAAATGTAGAATCACTTTCAATATTTACCTAAGATTTTTTGTCTCTTGTCTAAAGAGTCCTGATGTGTTCTACTATGGCAAATGGTGTCTTTGAAAACTTCTAACTGACCGTGTTCTTCTAGGTCTATGGTGGGCCTGATTTTCTCTCTCCTAGACTAGCCCAGCTGTGCATCTCCAGGTCAGCACAGAACCCACTGCGAGTCTCCAGCACAGGCAATGCAGTCGTCGTCCGTTTCAAGACAGATGCAGCAGTGACTGGGAGAGGTTTCAATGCTTCCTGGCAAGAAAATCCGGGTGGTGAGTGTGCCACTTAATCCCAAGAGAAATGCAGGAAGTCTGAGAAGAAGCGAGGGTCACCCATGCAAACATGGAAAGCAGATAAGCAGTGTAAGACTGAAAGATTGAATTAGGATGTTACAGGGAAATGCTGAAAAATGCACAGAGGAAAAGAATGAGAAAGCAATATCTAACTAACTGGCTGATATTTAAGCCTATTTACATGTATTGTTACAGTCTACCTCTTTCTTCTGTCCATAAAGAATGAAGACATTCCTGTAATCAGAAAAGAACTTTTGTATTCCAGGGGTTTCACCCTCCTGCCCCCCGCAGCCTTTCACTAGCTGACTGATGCTTCTGGTTTTAAATTATAAAGTGAAAATTATCTGAGAACATGGCTTAGCTTGGAGAACTGAATGAACTCCAAAATATTTGGAGTGATTAGTAAATCCTTTAACTCCACGAGATTCCTCCATCCCCATGTGATTATTTGTTCAAAGCCTTACTGGTAATCAGTGAAAGAAGAGAAATGTTTAAAGGACCCAACCACATGTTTTCTACATGGGAGTTCTTATGAAAAGGCTAATTGCCAGTACATAATTGCAATGAAAAGTGAGAAAAGGCCAATTTTAATTCTTGCAGTTTCACTTGATTAAATACACTGATTCATTGGCCTGTCAGGGTTCAAACTTCTCCATTCTCACAACTTTTATGAGAAAGGCACAAGATTTCTTTGAATAAAAAGACAGTTTACAATAGTCCTTTGACTTAATCCCCTTCCAAGATTTGGTAGCGTATTTTTCCAAACTACTTAGACCTCCCTGAAGCTTTCTCATCCCTTTCTAACATCTTGCATTTGCACTTCCCTCCTCTCACCTATTAAATTCCATCTCATCGGAGCCCAAGAGCAGTGTAATTTTTATCCTTCCAGAGGCCCCTTCCATCTGCAGTAGTCCCTGTGTCTCTCACCCTACTTCATCTGTTTGCATCACATAAAAATCCTTTGGTTTGTGTTAGTCAGACAGGATCCATCATGGTCAGTCAGATGGAGCACTCATTCTAYATAGTTTTAATGTAGACAATACAAAGACAGGAGTGATAGTCCTTCAGTTTAAAAATAAAAGAATATTGCTAAGGATAAATGACCTATTATGATTGAAACTGATCATATCTTTTTTAGGCTGTGGTGGTATTTTCCAAGCTACCAGTGGTGAAATCCATTCTCCAAACTATCCTGAGCCCTACAGTAACAACACRGACTGTTCTTGGGTTATCCAAGTTGACCAAAGCCACCGAGTCCTGCTGAACTTCACGGATTTTGACATGGAAAATCACCTCTCATGTAACTATGACAGTGTTGCAGTAAGTAACAAGGGACATTTCAAAAGTTTCCTTCATGAGCCTGGCAAAACTCTTGCAAAAGAGCAAGTTCCCCATGCCAACCTAGTTTGCAGTTGTTTTCAGGCTGCTTGTTGCACAGCCATGTGCTGTATTTATGCACTGACAAGCTAAGGCTTAAATTTGCGCTAGCTTGCCTTTGCTCCACCACTGGAGCAGACCTCACAAATGCATTTAGACATTTCACCATGTCCCCYCTTCTGTGTGGAAGGACCTGCTGTTGGTGAGCGTGGTGCACGCAACATCCTTTTTGGTAGTGTGAGTTCTCTGCAGTTCCCAAGGAGCAGCCCTGTATATGGGTGGCTGTTATTATGACACCCTTTTCTGCCCACAAGTGTAGTAGGTGCCCACACTCAGTTACTTAGTACAGCTCTTAGCCCAGCAGGAGTTTGGATTTGCCACCCTTTCCTCCATGTGCACTGTGTACTCAGGTGCTCCTCAGCTGGCTGCTTAATTGCTTCATTAGGGAGCCTCGTGTTGCTGTCAGCCTGGGAGCTTCTGTTGGTCTCGTGGAAATGCAGGTTGTTGCTCAACCAGCGCATGACTACAAAGAGCTTTCCRCGTCCCACATGGCCCCACAGGAGCAGGAACATGAAATCCTGGCCTCTGGTGCCAGATTGTGCTTCACACAGTACAAAGGCAGGGGTGGCTGGTGCAAGCTGGATAAAACACAGTGGCTCCGGCCCAAAATCCAGCCCTGCTCTCCTCGGAAAACSGTCATTCATAGGGAACACAAATTGGCAGGAACAGAGACTCTTTTGAAAACAGCATCACTTTTAACAGCGTTGCCWCCTAAAGCTTTTTTGTACCGAACCAGTAAAAAGGAACATGGCCTCATTTTGCTGGGCAGAACTGAAGATTTCATTTGGCTACAAAGCGTCTTTGTCCAGTGGATGTTCATWTTTGCCTGGTTCCAAAGCACAGGGAAATATGGCTATGTCTTTTTGTTCATTTTTTTTTTTAAATTTCACATAGGAGGCATATTGAAATGAAAAATCTATTGGAAAATAAGAAAATCTTCTGTGACACAAAGGTAGAAAATCTCATTGCCTGCCAGAAGCAGGGGCCTTCTGAACCAGCAGCACTGCACAAAAAAAGTCCCCCAGTTAAGGGCTAAATTCTGAACAGACCTAAAGTCTAAGCTGCAATTTTAAACCTGTTGCCAGTGGAACTTGTCTAAACRCCCTGTGGAGTACTCAGCTCCATAAATCCCCTGCAGTTCTAGGTACAGCTCCTGTTACCTTCATAGGCTGAATACACATACATTGTTTCCATCTGCTTTTTTTGTGTTTTGGGGTTGTTTTTTTGCGGGGTGATGGAGGAAGAGGTTGCCCATTAGCCCCAGTTGTGCAAAGTGCCTGAAGCAGCAGTGTGAACTGGGAAGGAGATTCAAGTTTAATGGAGGCAACAGTCATTGCCTGCCAAGCTCAGAGTGATGCGAGAGCGGGCGAGGACGAATCCTGCATTGGAGCCAAGAGTCTCCGAGTGGTATGTGAGGCAGGGGGCGGCTCTTCAGTGCCAACATCAACAGAGCAAGCAGATTAGATGGCCTTTCTCTCCTTACCATGTCAGGAGGCTGGTGACTGCTTGCTTCCACCCCCTGCRTGTGGTTTGTGTGCATCTCTTCCCATGGCTCTCTGTAGGCCTTGCAATGTAGTACAAGCAGACGGAAGGGCCTGAGGATGTCTAAGGACATGTAGGACTGGGAATAGCTTAGGAATTGCAATCCAGAGAAGCATAAATGGAAAATATGACTGGATAAGGAAGTTAGCGGGTTGTTATTTTCTCTCTAATATAGAAAACTACTATGTATGAGTAATAGAATGGTTCCACCCTTTTYGTTTTGTGTTTTTTACTTATCTTTATTTTTTTAATTTGTTCTGTGAATTCTCTGTGGCTTCCCTCCACCCTTGAGTGCACCAAAGGCCTTTTCCTTCATCCTTCCCCTTCTAGACCAACTCATTTTTCCCTGTGATACGACTTGAGATGGCACATACAGTTTGCCAGTTCTTTGTTGTTCTCTTTGGGAACACAGGAAAACATACCTTTTCCTGCAATGTCTTCCATTGCACAGTTACGAACAAAATGGAGGAAGGGAAAACATTCAGGTCTGATACTTCTTGGCTATTCTGCTCCTCCAGAAAGCCTGGTGCCTTTTTCAGGTCTGCTCAGTGGTTTCCTGTGTGAACCGGAGCCCAGATCTAGGTTCAGTCAGACTAATTTTAAGCATGGAACTGTAACCGTGTAACTGCTCTGAGCTCCCTCCAGAGTCAATGGACACAGCACAGGAGAGAGGCCTCCCCAGAGCAGTGCAGGCACCAGAATGCACCTTCTTCATTGATGATGGATGTCCTAGTTGACTGCCTAAATGCAGGTGCTAAATGAGAATTTGCCACTTTCTCTGGTCTGCAGAAAGGGTAAGAGCTTGAAAGGAGTTTTTAGCAACCTTGTCACTGTATATAAACAATAAATACACATTTTCTTTTTTTGTACCAGACTATTTCTTTCTGAAGAGTGAGTCTGACAGCAAATGAGGTTATTTCTTTGCAGGAAAATAGAGGAAAAGAAATGAGATGTGCACTAATTCCTGTATTTTTTGCCCSTGTGTTTGGCCAGTGAAGGTTATCTGAAGTTACATTAGTGAAAGCCATCAAGAGTTTCAGGTATTTGCAGAGCCTGTGAAGGCATGGCTCAAGGAGCAGCATTTGCAGAACAAGGCACTGAGAAGGAGAAATAGTTCATTCTCTTTGGTGGCTTTGATTMAGTAAATGTGCTTCTTCCTTCCTGTTGCAGTCTAACAACCAGTACACAGGAATGCAGAAAACGTAAACCTTGGGAGCTGGAGTGGAGATAGGACTTACTCTCTTGTAGGTGCTGACAGAGAGGATCTTCCCAAAGAGGACAGCTAGGCTGTGGGGGTTTTGTGGTTCAGAAAGCAAAAAATGTCTTTTTATAATATGGTTTTGCAAACTGAGGTACTCCTCTCATTTCAGCAAGAAGGAGATGAATCCTTCAGTTATGTTCCTCGTGTAAAGACAGGAGAAGAGCAAATTGCTGTTAATGTGCAATGCAAAACAGACTTCTAAAAAAATTATTGCAAGCAGATGCATCATCTTTCTTTACTTTTACAGACACAGGAATGTGTTTCTCAGATGTTTTTAAACTCGCTTTAAGACACTATAGAGAGAGATGCAACTATTCCCTGAACCAGCGAGGAAATATTTTGGTCTCTTATCTAGACTCAAGTCTGAAATCCTCCCTACCAAATAGTTTAAGTTAATAAATAGCAGGTGAGTAACTTGATGTAGCCAGAAAATACCTGTGGGCCTCCGTGTCTGCTGAACTCGTAGCTGCCCTAACTCCTAAATAACTCCTAAAATGCCAGACCACTTGGGTCACACTTATGCATACAGATAGGCATTCTGCACTGAATCTTTTTTTTTTTTTTTTTTTTTTTTTTTTTTGGCATAACTAAGGGCCTAAAACTAAGAGTCTGACTAAGAGTCATTCCTAGTTTTCTGCAAGATTTCTGCTTTTCCTCGAGCATGTCTCCTGGAAGCAGCAAATATTTTTGATTAGAAGACATTCTTTTGATTCTCTCCCCTTGCCCCAGCGCTAACACCAAACGACTTCTGTGTGTCAGAGAGCTCCCTGGAGGAAACGTCTGCATCCCCTCTCGTGCTGGTCATGGGGATGCGTTCCGTAGGGAGCCAGCCCAGTTACCAGCAGCTCGGAGCCATCCCCAGGTCAAGCAGAGACCCTCAGCTGTGCGAGCGACACCCGTCCCTGCCACCCAGCCGTTCACACCAGCGCTGCCACCCGCCCCGCTCAGTGCCCTGCTCCTCCTGTGCCACAGAGTGCAGATAAGCCCCCTCTCTGCCGCCTAGGGGCTGTCAGTGCCTTCACTCCTGGGGGTTGCTTTGTTAGTCATTATTTTGTTCACACTCCATGGTTTGTGGTTTTTAACTCTAGACAGCTTGATTAACGTACAGAATATTTGTGCAGGGGCAAAATAAACAGAGCACAGTGTGTATTGAATTGCTGACTGTGGCAGGATGCCAAGCCAGGAGGAAAGAGTGAATGGATGGATCTGGATCTGGATCTGGTGGTTCTCTTCACCAGGTACTCGTTTGTCCAGACATTGTTGTGCACTTAATGCTCCATCACAACGACCTGTGCAGCTCACCCGTGTTGTAAGCCCAAGGGCACGTTTCATTCACGAAAACAGCCCTGGCTAAGCAGGGTATTTCAGTGGATTGAACAGGAGTTTTGTCCTTTATTGCTCAACCTGAAGGTTTATTTGAGACAGTTCATCTTTTTTYGACTACTGTTGCATTCTTCTCACTAATGCACTCAAAAGCCTTTGAATACCACAGGCAGAAACATTGCATTGTGTTACACACTTTTGTTAGAAATTTTTAATTGATCAGTACTGAACTGCACAGGCTTGCTAGAATTTGAGGTATTTAAAGGAAAAATAATGAAGTAGTAGATCTCCTTTAACTCAATGGCATTAATTTGCTCTTAGTGTAGTTTTATTTAGCCTTTTACCTCCTAGCACCGGAATATCTTCCAGGTGTTAACACATGTAAAAAACCCTGCCCCAAATGTCTTCCCTCTTTATACACAGCCACAGTCCCACTGATACGTTAGTGGCTTGTTAGAAACAGTGTAGAAGTCTTTACTGAGGCAAGATTGAGTGTTTAGCTGAATAAAAATTACACAAGAACTCACAMTAGGGCTGAGTTGGTAGTGTTGCTTCCATCACAGACATGCACAGTGCAGAACATGCACATTGTGCTCTCCTGCTGTACAGCTGGCASTGGTTTCAGCCTGAGGTGGCTGCATTCTTTGCAAACAGCCACGGAACTAAGCYAGGCAGCGCAAAGTTTGTTTGAGCTGCTAATACCAGGATTGTGCCAGGATCCATACATATGAAACCCGAGAGAGAGCATGAAACAAAACTCCTCTCAGTACCCCTATGGAAACCCAGTATTTCCTTCCCTTCGYTCGTGGCAGGTCTACGACGGCCCCAGCCAGGAGGCGCCACTTGTGGGGCGGTTCTGTGGGTCGCAGCGCCCCGCTGCCATCGTGGCCTCCCGGCACGTGGTGCATGTCCGCATGCGCTCCGACAGCTCCGTGCAGCACCGCGGCTTCCRCGCCCGCTTCGCTCAAGGTAGACCTGCCCTCACACAGACACACCTGTGGCTAAGCATTTATTTGGTTTTTTAACACAGCTTGGAATGGAAAGTTGTGGTTTCTATACGTGCAGCTCGTCAGGGTGTATTTCCAGCAGGACTGAATTCTGGGAAATTATAGATTAAAGAATTATAAAATGCAGGAACGTGTTATGTTTTTAGACTGGGAAAAAAATGCCCTCTGTGGCAAGCCATATATTTAGCAGATAAGTTGTCTACCTTTTATTCCTCCTCCCTTGGAGGTGGCTACCCAGTGTATCCTGAGAAAGCTCTGCAGCTGGCAGCTGGCACGGAGAAAGTAGCATTTTATCTCTCTCCGTGCTTACGAATCTGGAAAGGCCTGGAAGGTTTGGGAGCTGGGCTCTTCATGGAGTACATGGATTCAGGCCTGCAAACCCTGACAAACATGAATAATTTGTGGATTGCCATTTTCCATGGTTTCTTGTATGAAGTGAAATGGCTCCAACTGGGCAGAATCTGTCAAGAAAGTTTATATTATTGTTGATTTTCTTTCTTTCTTTCTTTCTTTCTTTCTTTCTTTCTTTCTTTCTTTCTTTCTTTCTTTCTTTCTTTCTTTCTTTCTTTCTTTCTTTCTTTCTTTNTCTCTCTCTCTCTCTCTCTCTCTCTCTCTCTCTCTCTCTCTCTCTCTCTCTCTCTCTCTCTCTCATTTTTCACAATAACTTTGAAAGCATTCTCTTCTCCTTCCCATTCCAAGCCATAACTAGTTTGTAATGGAGAAAATCCCTTTCTCTCATTGTTTTTTTTTTAGGAGTCTTTTCACTATATGTTAGCACTTCTCCTAGCAAAACTGTTTTTTTCTTTGAGAATTTTGTAAAAGAAAAGAAGGAATTTTCATCAGTAACGACTTCTGAAGTAGCCCAAACCTTGACACCCTCAGTTACTGGGGTCTGAGCTAGATGCCTAACTAGTATCAACCCAGGAGCCCAACCTGCCAAATACTCCTTGAGCTCCTCTCCCAGACTGGCCCTGCACAGTAGGTAGAGGGTGAGTCGGCCTGGGCTGGAGGCAGCTTCCATTCTGTCTTCCCAAAAGACCCTGTATTTCCCATTTCCTGCTGGATGGCTGCACAGCATGAGGCCTGGATCCCAGCCTTTGGAATCTTAGCTCCCCATTCATGCCTATAAACACGCCTTTGGGTGTTAGGCTCCAACCTGGGGAGCTTGTGAACAGCTTGGGAATCACGCGTGGCCTCGCGCAGCGCTGTCAGCCAGGGCTGCACAGGACATTCAGCTTCTGCCCGTGTGCAGCATCTCGYCCAGCCGCAGTTCTGTGCCAGTGCCATGTGCTGCAGACCTTGGGCATGGGCAGGTTCCTGGAGGGTTTCTGGCTGCCCTTTCCTGATTCTCTGAGATCAGAGAAATGGATGCATGATTGGGCTACTCTGAACCCAAGTTATTTTGGCCCCAAGGTTGCTCTTTTGAGCTATATATGAGGCAAGGTCTGCTCCCAAGTCTTTCTGACTTTGCTCAGATTCTCATGTATTTTACATTGCTGCAACATGTTATGTCTTGTGTGTTCCTTTTCACTACAAAATCCAATACGTGTTTTTTATATATAAATATATATGTATGTGTGTGGATATATGTGTTTCATTCTAAAGCATGTGGAAGCTTCATCGAGTCAGATTCAGCTGGGGCAGCTATTTCCTCTCCTCTGTATCCTGCCAAATACCCRAACAATCAGAACTGCAGCTGGATCATTCAGGCTCAGGAACCATGTAAGTAAAAACATCTTTTGTAGTTAGCTGGGTGACTAATATCCTCATCCTTTTTTTCTGTAATAACAATACAAAATTCCTCCTTTATTTCTCTAGGAAGTTCTGCATCCTGGTAACTGCAGAGAGTGTGGATCTCCTCCTAATCTCTGTCCTAAATCAGATTTTACTGTAGAAAAATTTGGGACATTTGGGACAATGAGGGAAAAAAAGTTTACCATTTTGTCATCTTAGCTGGTTTACTGGGACCTGAGTGTTGGAACTATAAAATAGGCATTGAATAGTATGCAAACGTGGAATCATCAATCAGGAAATCTTATAGATAAATGAGGCATAACATATAATTTGTAATGTAATATTAGACATGCATTTGCACACACAGGCATTTATATAAACTTCTTACCTTATTTTGGCCTTATTTTTTCTGGCTAGAGTTGTGTTTTTTCAGATGTATGCTGTTAACATAAATAAAATTGCAATTAAGTAATGAGAAAAGGTAGGGAGGTATTTTGTTTTAAAACAGAATTTAAAAAGAACATAAATACACTAGTGTCATGTCAACACCATCAAATGTTTCTATTTTTAGACAGGTTTATGATTAATGTAAAAGCACCAACGGTTTTCTTTGAATACCCAGTGTTCCTTTTACAGTGTTGAAGATTTCCTAAAATATATGTACAACTGGGAAGAGTTACAGTAAAATCATTTGAAGTAAATATTTATTTTTAACTGGTGACGAATGAACAATTGTTGTTCACCTGATATCTGTCCATTGCCATTCAAATCATAAAGTGTTCCAGCCACATTTAGAAGTTTATTTTGCCAAGTTATAAAACAAAAATCAATATGCCAAAGAAAACACTAAACCAAGAGCTAGAAAGTAAGCAGTTTTTAAGCACAGGTTTTTACCCGAATACATCTAAGCTGTTCCTAACCTATACAACAGTTTTTTTGTGGACAGTTTCTTATGGACAGTTTCTTACTGAATCTAGGTTGAAAGCTCATATGTAGCTTTTGCCCCCTTATTTGTTCCAGTGTGAGAGAGCAGAAAAATCCTGGATAAGAAGTGCTACGTGTATGTAGAGGCTTCCTCTATCTGTCAGAAGGACCACTACGTGCCCCACGTATTACCAGCACACAAGGCTCTTTTTGGGCCAACAACAGAGCAGAACAGAACGCAGCCATATAGAGTAAACGTAGCTGCTTCAAACCACAGCAGAGTTGCTGCACATTGTGCTCGTGCCTTTTCCTTTCCCTTCCCATTCTCTATCTCGAGGGCTTGCGCTGAGAGCTGGGGCAGCTGCCTGGCCTGGTGCGCAGCAGCGGCTGGAGCCGCGCGCCCGGGGCTGCATTGCAGCCCTGCTGGCTGCAGCGCCTGGCCCCTCTCTGTGACTTCGGCCTCGTCCAGCTAATTAACCACAGCCAAGGGAGAGACACACACKTATGTGTCACAATCAGACTTGGTCTGTGTGGGGAAGCACCTAGCGGGGCTGCGTAGGCCCCTCAAGGCTGGGACTAGCTGTTACCATGGGCTGCTGTAGAGAAAACCGCCCTCCTCCCATTCATGAATTTGCCATTGTTTGTATTGAGCGAGCTACAGCTCTGTGAGAATCAAAAATACCCTGAGTCAGAAATCCTCCTTTTTTTTCAGCTTGCAGGCTGCAGTCTGAGGGCGTGGAAAATCCAATTCCATACGGCTATAGCTGAGGGTAGTTAATGATCCTTACCCAGCCTGATTGATGCATGTGGAACATTACCAAACACTAAGATCCAGCTCTTTTGGAGCCTGGAGCAGGACACCGTCAGTTCACATTTTTGTCCAGATCTGTGATATAGATCCCACAGGGACAGGAGGTCATGGATGCATAGATAGCGGTTTTGTTTTTCAGTCATAATGTGTAATCTTTCCGTGTGGTTTTGGTGACATTTGCAACCTACACCCCTAAACTAGAAAGCAATGAAATATGAAGATATTTACCATGTCTTTCACAGTAAACATTAACAGACTGCCACCAAATTCAAAATAAATTTTTTTCATAATTTTTTTATATAAATCATTAAATAAAAATTATGTCAGACTTTATGTTTTATGATCCAGTAACAGACACCAATTTAGTTAACTGTTTGACCTCAGGGGAAGGAAGATGGTACTTTTGCTATCCTGGAATGAATAAGGAAAATAGAAATCCAGTGTGTGTTTAGCTGTCATCATGTGTGTGTGAGATGGCGTCCTTCTCGTCAAACTTTCCCTCTTCTCTCTTGCCAGTTAACCACGTTACCCTCTCATTCACTGACTTCAATGTTGAAAACAGSAGGCAAAACTGCACGACGGATTTTGTAGAGATTTTGGATGGGAATAACCACGAGGCTCCTCTTCGAGGTACTGTGCTTTCCCCTGCTTATTCCATGCAGAGGGCACCAACCAGTGTGAGCTGGAGGAGGATGTTTTTTGGGAATGGCCTCCTGCCCCGTGGGCTTTGCAAGGGCCTGTGATGGAGGCGGCCCAGGACACCCCTCGGTGGATCCATGGGGGCCGCACAGGCGCATCCGTCAAGGCTCATGGTGTGGATGGAGCTCATCCTGGGGCCCYTTTCCCTCCTTCTTGGGTAGGGATGGAGGGAGCAGAAGGCTCTGCCATAGCCACCCAGTTTAAATGGTTCTACTCAGGTTAACTGTACAGGGACGTAACATGACCCTCACTCATAAGCAGAGGCATCACCATACACAGGTGAAGAAAGATGCAGCTTTTGGGGAGTAGAAAACAATCTTTTCTCAACCTTCAAAAGCTTGACTTTCTGCCGGTTTCTGATTTTTCTGTGGCTTCCTCCTCATTTCCCTATCCAGAGTCATCACTCCCCTGTGTAAGAGGCAGCAAAATTGAACATTGTTTAAAGTGCCAGGAGACCACAAGGCAGCCATGGCTGCAGCGAGATCCTGGCTCCCCTTGCACGCCCAGCATTGCCTCAAATTCATTCAGGAAATTGAGGGCATCTGTACCTGATTCTGCCCTCCCTTACACTGGATTCACACATATCCCCTGAGCAGGAGTGGGGTTACCTTGAATGGGCTGTAACTGAGAACAGCCTTCCCTGCTCTGTCCCCTGCCCTGAGCCTCTGCTCTGTCCTCATGCCATGCAAGAGGACCTGTGAACTAGCACCTTCCTCTCTGCTGCCAGGAGCCTTCCTGCTGGAATATCTTTGTTAGGTTTAACCCTCATGCTGTATGAGTTATAGTTTTGGGTTTTTTTTTTTCCTAATTAGGCAGTATTTTCAGGACAGAGTGAAAGCAAGTACTGAGTTCTCTAATAAAATGACTATTCCATATTTACGTGCATTTAATTTACAATAGCAGTTGCGAGCAACAAATGTTATCCCTGGCTGCTGGCAGGGATCCCAAATGTTAATCCCAGGTTGATCCCAAATGTTAGGTTAGCGAGAGTCATTTTAAGCTGAACGCTCAGTTCCTGCCTCTGGCTTGTTCCCTTTCAGGCCGCTACTGTGGCTCCGCGCTGCCGCTGCCCGTCACTTCTTTTGGCAGTGCCTTGGTGGTGAACTTCATCTCCAACAACAACGTCACCGCCGGGGGCTTCCAYGCCACCTATGCTGCTTCGTCATCGTGTGAGTCCATGCAGCGGGTGCTGCCAGCCTGTGCCTCTCGTTTCTAAGAGAAGGAGCAGATGCCACATCCCTTTGTCCCTCTGACATTGCCACCTTTAAATGTSATATTGCCCCAACTCTTATTTTGGCCAAAATCTCAACAGGGAGATCACCAAATCAGAGAACAAGAAGTGCCTTCCTGATCAGCAAGTTCTCTGGCCCTCTCTTTTCTCTAGGTTATCTCTCTGCAGCCTCTGCTGTCTCCTTCTCGTTGCAGCCTGTGGGGGTACTTTCCACATGGAGCGAGGAGCTTTCAGCAGCCCCGGCTATCCCGATCCGTATCCTCTGGACACCGAGTGCGTCTGGAAGATTCTCAGCTCCCCTGGGAACCGGCTMCAGCTGTCCTTCATGTAAATGCATTGTCAGGGGTTATTGCTCAGCCCTTAACGGAGCTGAAGGAAGGATGCTCGCTGCTTATTTAGGAAATGCAGTTACCAGACGATAAAGCTGAAACGTGTCCTTAGAATAACCTGGAAGGAGAACACAGCAATGGCTCGTGACAGCTCACTGTCAGTGCTCTCTTCTTTTAGTTATTGCTTATGTTAAGGCACATATAGTATTATATAAATAGGTGGTTTATTGTTTGAAAAACATGAGATACTGAAGAAGCCAGATTTTTTTTTCCAGAGGATGTTCCTATTATTTCTCTACTGCCAAGTTCATCATACTATATTATTATACAGCTGAGTAACATAAAGTGCCCAAATACTCCATAGACTGTGRACTGTAGACTATGAAATTGATACAAAAAAAATTTCAGACAGGAAAGTCATGCATGATCCACAGAACAATGTGGAGTCCTTTAGCATGGTGCTTAGGTTTTGTTTAACCATGATGTGGGTTTCTGAGCTTTTCTGCTTACAGTGCCAAGGAAGAGGGCACAGTCCCTTTGCAAAGCTGATCAGAGATCAGCAGGATCTGAAACTTGCTTTTCTGAAACTTGCTCTTGCAGCTAGTCAGGGTGAAAGGAAAATAATGCCAGCTGCATAAGGTCCAATTTGTTAAGCACATACTGTCTCAATAACACAATAAAAAGGACATTATAGTCCTCCTTTACTCACTGAAAGAGTGTAAGTGCCACAGCCTGAACACATTTTCCAAAGTATTTGCTGCAAAATAATTAATAACAGCTTTTCAGAACAGAACCAGAGGTCCACTATGAAGCAGAAACTATCAGCAGTGCGTGTATTTGGATATATAAAGTGATACTGACCTGATGTAGGCTTTTTTCCTTCAGTTACACTGAAGTTACAAGCTGAAAAACACTGGAAAACCTGGAGTCATTGTGTTAGAAAGTTATTTATTTTATTTAGTTCAGTAGTAGGGTTTTATGAAGCTTTGTTGGCACGAGATATTCATTTTCTTCAGGTTGGTCTCAACAAAATTGCCTGTCTTGCAAGTTTAGGGTTAGCTTTAAATTAGTCTAAAGTGTATCCAGATGAGTGGTTGGAACCATTTCAAAGACAGTCTGTACGCTGGGGACATATGGTATGTTGATGACTGAAGGAAGGGGAGGAGTTGTTACCAGAAAATCAGAAAGCACAAATATCTGGGGCATTTTTTATGAGAGACACATTCTGGAATCTTTTCTATATATGCGTGGCCAGCTTCAGAAAAGCATATTGGACTGAATAAAAACACTTCATTTAGAATAACCTCACTTAGAAATTATGAGATAGTGATTTTTGTAATCTATTTAGCATTCAGGTGGGTGCAGTAATTGAAAGCTTATTGTTTGATTGCCAAATCCTATTCATTTTCTAAGGAAAACATTGGTTAAGAAGAATTTCTATTTTTWAATTTTTTTTTCTGAATCAGTTGCATGAAATATAAAGAGGCCAAAGAGGCCGTACTATTTCTTAATTCCGGAGAAAGAGCTCAGGGAGCTTTGAGCTCTGAGATGTTGGYTACAAATGAATCTAGGCCCTTGGAAATTGTTTTCTGATCAGAGAGTATAATGAAATAATGCAGCCACGTAGGGGTCTGCAAACTGATTTGTAAGACTAAAACTTTTCTCTGCACCCAGTATTTGCAAAAGTCTATCATGGCCTTATATTAAAAATCTGTCAGAAACTTTCTGAGTTTCAGTGATGTTGCTGGAGAACCAAGACGTCTTTAAAAGGGTTTCAGAACTCTTTAGAAGTCATAATTTTTCAAACTGAAGCTCTACCATGAGGTAGGARGACAGAAAGGAATGAGCTGTATGGACAAAGTGATTCCTGGGTCCTGGTGAGTGTTGCTGCCATCCTGCTGGCACCAGCCTCAGGGGGACTGGGGACACAGCAGGGCAAGCTGAAACAGGCTTCGGTCCCTCGTCTGCTCATGCTCTCCTCCTGCTTTTGAACAGAGCRTTTCAGGTGGAAGAGAGTGATGGCTGCACCAAGGACTACCTGGAGATCCGGGAAGGGAACGAAACGGGCGTGCTGGCAGGGCGGTTCTGTGGCAACTCCTTGCCTCTAAATTACACATCTACAGTGGGACATGTCCTGTGGGTTAAGTTTGTCTCAGATAGCTCCATCACTGCTGGTGGCTTCACGGTCACATTCTCTCACTGTAAGTAAATGTTTTTTCATTAAAAACTATTGTTTTTCCGTGGCACTTGCAAAAAGATTCAAAAAAAGGTGAACGTTTGGCCTTGTAAAGTATATTGGAAAATTCATGTTGAGATCAGCAAGGCTTCTCACTTTCATGTGACTTCATATTTTCTAAAATATCACAGAATCACAGAATGGTTGAGGTTGGAAGGGACCTCTAGAGATCATCTAGTCCAACCCCTCTGCTCAGGCAGGGACACCTATGTATAAATATCCTAAATATCTGGCTAAACTTTAGATGGATTCTCTTTCTAAAATATATCAAAACATAACTCATGTGCATACAAGTCTATTAAGTACAATGAGAGGAATTAGGCATGAACTTTTATCATTTTTAATTATTATAACGGAACATTAATTCCAGTTGAATCACATATAATCCTTATAGAAGCAAACAAATTCCATGGATTAGACAAAATATAATATGTTTTCTTTTTAACTTGACTGTTTTCTAAGCATATGTCTCAGCTCATCACCTAGTTATGAGATTCCTCCTTGAGTTATGCTGGGCTAAGAGAACATGAATAAGGGCTACGTGCTAAAAACTTCTATGGTACCCCAAGATTGCCAGTAGCCTTAGAGTTAGAAACACCTGCTCATGTGTCAGTGCTACTCAACTCCCAGCCATTTTCCCTGCTTTGGGACTTCTGTTACTCGTTTTCGAAAGGGTAGGACCTTTCGATAGGTCCTAGCTCAGCCGTTTGTCCTCAGGACACAGAAAATCATTTATTAATGATCCCCGGGGCGGGTGAGCATGAAGCAGGTGGAGGAGGAGGGGAACTGAACTGTGCTGATCCTTCCCRTCTCTCCTACAAGCAGAGCTACGTGGCTGGGAGGGATAATTTCYTTTGGATAGGGGTACATGTCATTCCCCACCACAAGGAAATACTGGGATGTGCGTCCCAAGACTGAGACTCAAGTCTATACTTGAAAGTACCCTGAGTAAGTCAAGTCGTATGGACTGAAATGAGATCTACAAGCCGTGCCTGTGCCGCAGCGCTTCATTTAACCTATGCAACTTAGGAGCATTAGTTGTCTCTCTTGTTTTTTAGTGTATGGAAATGACATTGTGGGAAGCAGAGGACAAATAGCTTCGCCGCAGTGGCCCAGGAGGTACCCTCACAATTCCAACTACCAGTGGCGGATAAGCGTAAACGCTTCGCAAGTTATCCAGGGTCGTGTCTTGCAGATGGATATCGAAAATCATTACAGATGCAATTATGACAAGTTAAAGGTGATTTCCTTTTGAGAATTATTAAACTGATAAAAACAATTACTGGAAAAACTTAAAAGAGGAATGGGTAGAATTTCCACAGGTCAGGTTGGGGCTCATTGGATTTGCCGTGGTATCTTTTCAGTAATTCTTGGGTTAAGGAAAAGCCACATATTCCCTAACAGATACTTCCAAGCTGGAAGTTTGAAATGTGATGAAAATAAGTGCACAAYGGTGCAATCATGATTTTTTTTTAATCCAAGTATTTCAAGTCAGATACCAGAATGAAAGATGGAGCTTTGCTCAGCATTGGTTCGCTTGACAGCAGTGATAATATCAAACCAATCCCTCTAGAAATAAGGCAATAAAATTTTAAAAGCCTACATGTGCTTTAACCCTCCCAGTGTTCCTCCTCTCCCTCCTTGCTGGTGCATTGATTCCCTCCCTGTAATTATCTAGCCTTTTTCAGGCTAAAAATATAGTAAATAGAGTGTTAAGCAAAATAGAGCAATATTTAAAATATTTGTGTTTCATCCTCTTTCATAACAGGAAAGTTAATACTAGATCAAAATATTTGAATGTAATTTATTATTAATTCACTGTTATCCAAATATTCATTCAAAAAGGAAATGTAACTTTTTTCATCTCATACCAGATATAGCAGCATCTTCTCTCTTCCAGCTCTGCCTGGCTTTCTTTGTTCAGCCCTCTGAGAGAAAGATCAGCTCTTTAAATCAGCTCGATATTCAGTGGGACTAAATCAGCCTGGGTCCTTTAATGGGACTCAGAGGTCAGACCTTCAATGTAATGCTAATTTGCCCTTTCCTAGCTTTCTCTATTGGAAAAGCTATTCTAGTTTTTCTTGGGCTGAAGAGAAGAAGAACACAAATAGGACAGAAAAGTGGCAAAAGAAAAACACCTTTTAATCAACCAAGAATTTAGTTTGTAAATTAAGAAAATTGGAATATTTTTAATACATTTTTATTTGATTATATATATTTAATATATTTAGATATATTAAATAGATATGCATTTAATATATCTAATAAAGCATATGTGCTCATTGGGAAAAAAAGGGAAAAGAAAAACATACAAGCAAATGAATCCCTTTCTCTGCAGATTTTATTGTATCTCAACAAATCAGTCTCAGCACAGCACACAAATGTATTAATGGATTTTTTTTTTTTYCCACACAAGACACCAGTCAATATCCCCAAAGTGACAGGGAATATGTGGAGCCCGATGGCTTCTGTCCAGATCCTGCTGTGAGAGCTTCATGGTTGCACGCAGTCAAACTTCATCTGTGTTTCTGTTTGGCGCGAGCAGGTGTTCGACGGGCCCAGCGTTCATTCCCGGCCCATTGCGACCTACTGCGGCAGCGCCCCTGCCTCCTTCGCAGCCTCTGGCAGCTCCCTGACTCTCCAGTTCCAGTCGGACGCATCCGTGAGCGGAAGGGGCTTCCTGCTGGAGTGGGCGGCAGTGGAGGGCTCTCCTGCGGCCCGCACCCTTGCTCCAGGTTGGGCTCTGCTGGTGCTCACGGCCGCGTAGCCAGGACCCAGGGCTGCACCAGCTCTGCCCCAGAGGAGCCCTCCTTACTGGTTGAGGGGGACCTCGCACTGACATTTTATTAAAGCATTTTAATAGCTATATTGAACAATTTCTGTGGACACACATTATTTTGCAATGTTTTAAAAATGAGACTGTTAAGTCTGGTAGAAGGATATTTTTCTTTATACTGATACTTCACTTTCTATATTTTAATGGGAAAAAAAGATATTTTGCTTGATATGCTATCCTTAGATCATTGGCCCTTGTGATTTGAAACTTTTCATAAAACTGCACCATAAATCGAGAGAATATGACCGAGAGAATATATGGTTCAGCATGACCGTATATCTCTTTGAGAAATATCTCCTGGAAGGAAGGGGAATGTGCTTATAACATCGTGGATTTTGTTGGAGTACRTTAAAAAAGGGAAAGCTAAGGCTAATTAGGATGTAGTAAAATGTCTGATTTCTAAATCTGAAGGCAGATTTGTGAGGACAGAGGGACTAAGGATTCGTGGGGCTTTGCGGGATAGCAGCAGTATTTTATGGGGTTATGTGCTGGGAGAGCACTGGATAACCCATCAAGGGCTTCACCTGGCCCTAAACACAGAGCTGCAACGTTAGGAATGGAGAAGAGCTTCAGTTTGAAGAGAGTTTAGATCATTTAACTCAGCTGACCAGTACCCGTTGTGTACGGTTATGCGTACAGCCTTCCTTTCCCAGGCCTTTACTAACCCGTGTTAGGTCCTGCTAGAGCCTGTTCTAGATACTCCTTGTAATGACATAGGTCACAGCTTACTACACCGGTGGGCAAAGGACTATAGTCCTTGTAGGTCAGGCTATRCTCAGTTTAAAAATCAGACGTTTTCATTTTGTCTCTTTGTCTGTGGCAGGTGCATGCGGGGGGACTGTAACAACTGAACAAACACCTTCCTTCCTCTTCTCCCCGGGCTGGCCCATGAATTACAGAAACTTGGCTGATTGTGTGTGGCTTATCAGAGCTCCTGGATCCACTGTAGAGCTCAATATCCTGGCCTTGGACATTGAGTCTCACAGCTCATGCAGCTATGATCAACTTGTTATTCGAGATGGTGAGAAGTTCATCTTGCTCTTCCGTGACAGAATGAAATAGACACTCAAGGTTTCAGTATCTAAAATTCTCTCATTCAATTTATACTGTTTCACTTAGAGTATTTGATGGCCTATGAAAATGCTTATTGGTCTGAGCGAGTTTAAARATCTTGAAAAATACTTACCTGAAAGTGTGAGACTCACAGTGACAGGCAGGTTTTAATTTATTTGATTTTAACACTAACATTTCTCCTTCTCACCCCAGGAGACACTAGTATTTCTCCAGTGCTGGCTACTCTGTGCGGGCGAGAACCTCCTGGGCCKATAAGATCAACAGGAGAGACCATGTTCATCCACTTCATGTCAGATGCAAGTGTCACTGGAGCTGGATTTAATGCCTCCTATTACAAAAGTAAGATTTGTTTCCSTTCTCCCTACAGTAAGTGTCTGTCTTGCTGCTTACTGCTGGGTAAGGAAAGAAATGCCCCTTGATGACATTTTTAACAGATGTCTGTACTCAGTCCAATTAACCACACAGATGAATTATTCACATCACACAAATACACATTCATAAATCTCTTTTTCTGTGAAGGTAAAACTTGCCATCTGCCAAGAGATAAGACATAATGCGGCATGATTCAACTACTCCAGTGTCTTTCCAGAAATAGAAATAATACACACTATGACTAAAGAAAGTTTTAACAGCTTAACTAAGAGGTAAAAGAGAAAGAAYGCCCAGCTAAGAGAGGGAAATGAACAATTTGGAGCACAGACACAAAATACAGATGAATCCTGAGAGCTGTRTAAGTTCCAAGCAGGATGTTAGCAGTTTGCAGTGGTGCTTCTCCCACCCATATCCAGAAGGTGACATTTCTGAGTGGGCTGAAGGCATCAAAGAAGGTGTAATGAAAATAGTCAGCAGCCAAGGTGACTTCTGACTTGCAGCTTGTGGTGGTGCTGGTGGTTTGGCCCGTAGGTAGAAGCAAAGGACTCAAATACTGTCAAGATACGTCCATGCCATGGAGATCCTTGGCAAAGCTGTCTGCTTAAGAATGTCTGAGAACCAGATCTCACTGTGGGAATGTTGGGTGTGTGTCATTTTGCTACCTCCTGCCTTGTATTTGGTGGATCATCCATTGTGTGCATAGCTGCATGTCTCTCAACTCTTCAAACACTTGCCTCAGTGTTTGTTTTTTTTTTGTTGTTTTTATTTGTCACTTTTCCTTCTAAGAGAAGGAGGGTTTTTTTTTTTTTCTGAATGAATATCTGAGTAGTTAATGCTAAAATTTTCTTCTTGTCTTCAATTCTTTCTTCTCAGGCTGTGGAGGCTATTTGCATACAGGCAGGGGTGTGATCACGTCTCCCAGTTACCCTCAAAACTATGGTCCTAACCTGAATTGCTCCTGGCACATCCTGGTACCCTCTGGATTTATTATTGCTGTCCATTTTGAACAGCCTTTCCAGGTGAAGACGGAGGATGCTTCCTGCACCCGTGGGGATTATGTAGAGGTGAGGTTATTGGATATGGCCCCAAATCCTCAAAGCTATTCAAGCTGCTGGCTCTTACAGACTTCAGTGTAACATAACCAAGCTACTCAGGAGGTGGAAATACCAAAGAGAAACACCAAAGAGATTGATTCTCTGCCCCTCCTTTATCTATTACTGTGTGTTAAATAATCACTGGCTCCCTGTTGCTCTCAGACCTGGAAGCACTGGGATAGYCTGTGCTCAGTGTGGGCAGGCCAGGGCTGTGAGCTCCAGTGGCCTTAGCAGTTTTTCCTTTCAGCTGAAGAACGGAGCGGATGCTGCTGCTCCCCCTTTGGGGCACGGGCGCTTCTGTGGAAGCAGCCCCGTCTCTACCATGCACACCTCGGACAACCAGCTGCTTGTGCACTTCGTGTCTGACAGCAGCAACGAGGGGCAAGGATTCAAGCTGAAATATGAGGCTAAGAGTCTAGGTAAGTTYAGGTGATAAACACAAGTTCTGTGACTCAATAGAAATAACTTTGAGTTTGTTCTCTTAATGTGTGGTTTGTTCCTTGTTATAAAGGCCAACTCAGAGAGACTGTAACCTGGCAGATGTCTGGATAAATGTCCTGTTTTCTGTCTCAATGTGTGACTTTTGATCCTACTYTCCACCTACTTCTCTTTAAAGAGAGGCAGCTCTGGCTCATGGAAACTGGAGGCATTAAAATAAAAATATATCTGATTATGAACCCTTTATGAGGCAGTTAGGATCTTGTGTTAGCAAGAGATATTCATAATTCRTATAGGAAAGGAAAAGAAGATGAAAGCAAGAACATGAGTTTCAATGTCTGGTACACAATGCAAATGCTAAGTTATGTCAGGGATGATTCAAGCTGGCGTAGCTAGRAAAGTGTGCTCTCCACTGAGAAAATAACATTCCCTGTTGGAGCTAACATTTTTGAAAGACTGACTCATGTTCCAGGATAAATCAAGGACYTGGCACTTGCAGTTGTTCTCCTGTATTTATGGCACATGCCACTTGGGACATAGGGAGCCCTCCTTCAAGCAGTGACTAAACATGAACTAACATGGCTAAGGCAACTTGTCAGTCCGTCTGAGTTTGTAAGTGCTTGTTTTCTGCCTGCTTATGCCTACTGCTGCAGAGGAGCAGCATAGTGGGTGCATGAAGGGAGTGGGTGAAGCTGTACAGTAATATTTCTACCACTTCAGCCTCGAAAGCCTCCTTGACTAAAACCCTATATTTATCAGCATTGATCAGCATAGAATCATAGAATCATAGAAT